ACTAAGTCAAATAAAAACTTTATAGTAATGAATGTGAAGAAGAACTGGGGGTGAACTAAGAATTAGGGAGGCAGGGGTCCCCAAGGAACACAGTAGATGTCCCCCAGTTTATATCTATAATCCTATATTTTAATCCATAGCTAAGATACATTTTTTCTTGTGAAAAGTTATGATATTTCCAACCTGGAGCCATCACTGCCTTGTCTGAACTCTCAGAAGATTTTGCCCCTATCTGTAATGATAACTGCTTTCTTTTAATATTTGTGTACATGCCTTAATCTCTCCTCCTAGGCTGCAAACTCCTTAAGATGAAGCACTGTGTTTTGTTTTATTTTAATTGCTCTGTTCCACACAATTTCCTACAAATAGTTGGAGGACACTCAGTAAATATTTGTTTTGTGACTGAATGAATAAATAGCAGACAAGGCTAGATTATGTGAGTATATGTATATTTCTTTTAATAATGAAACTACAAGAGCATCCTCATTATAGAAACAAAAACTGTTGGGGAGGTTTTATTTGATATACTGTGTATGTTTTTAGGTTTAGAGAGGATGGTAGTCTCTCTAAATACTAACACATGAGATAAAGAAGAAGAAAATAAGATATTTCTGATATTTGCCAGTATTCTAGTTGGTTTAAAATTAAGACAGTTTTAAGAAATTTAAGAGATTTAATTTATCAAGGATAGGTAGGCATGTAGATAGATAGGTCAGTCAATCAACAGATAGATGATAGGCAGATGGAGTATATCTAGGACCTAAAATCGACATAGATGGTTGGATAGGTAGGTAAATAGGTAGATACATAGATAGGTACATAGGTAGATAATTAATATCTAGGACCTATTTAGATAATTATACTGTTGCCCTGTGAAAATAACAATATGTATATTACTTTTGTTTGTGGTTTTAATATTGAATTTAAATAGTTAAAATTTCAAAAAAATTGTTCTTTTTTTAATAACTTGTGAATTTCTACATTTGGCACAGTTTTTATTTAGTGGCCTAATTTAATTGCTGTGTATTATTACAGGGTGATTTACAGAACTTTATCTTATAACTTTATATCTACGTATGAACATCAAGTTTTAAAACAAATCAAATTCCCACTGATAGCATAAACAATTTTAAAAAAAAAACTTCTTCCATAATGGGAATGCAATTAGAATTTTTTTTTTTTTTTTTGAGACGGAGTCTCACTCTGTCGCCCAGGCTGGAGTGCAGTGGCTGGATCTCAGCTCACTGCAAGCTCCACCTCCCGGATTTACGCCATTCTCCTGCCTCAGCCTCCCGAATAGCTGGGACTACAGGCGCCCGCCGCCTCGCCCGGCTAGTTTTTTGTATGTGAGATGCTTGTGGACTTGAGAGGAAATATTTACAACTCATCAGTGAACCAGCAAACCAGTGGCCAAAATCTAATTAAAAGTTTACATTGGTCCGGGCGCAGTGGCTCATGCCTGTAATCCCAGCACTTTGGGAGGCTGAGGCGGGCAGATCACCTGAGGTCTGGAGTTCGAGACTAGACTGACCAACATAGTGAAACCACATGTCTATGAAAAATAAAAAATTAACCAGGCATGGTGGTGCATGCCTGTAATCCCAGCTACTTGGGAGGCTGAGGCAGGAGAATCGCTTGAACCCGGGAGCTGCAGGTTGTGGTGAGCTGAGATCGCACCTTTGCCCTCCAGCCTGGGCAACAAGAGCGAAACTCTGTCTCAAAAAAAAAAAAAAAAGTTTACATTGACTCTAATAAGAACGAAAACCAGCCATGAATACATGGTGTAGACCAATATTAATTTTCTTTTTTGACTACCCAGTAGAGTGATGTAATTTTATTTCACAATGTAATATGTGGAATGAGAAAACTATAATCCTATCATAAGGCAGAAAATACACAGGATGGGGTCTTGATCTTATTCATTATTGTAGTCCTAAGTTTTGGGACTGCCTGCGCATATAGGAAACACTCATGACAAAATGCTGTTATCTAGAAATTCAGGTGTGATGTAAGTGTAGACTCACTCTCATCTTTCACCTAGTTCCTATTTCGTTAGCTTTGTAACAGTGATATTGAATTTTGACACACCATTTACAGATTTTGACAAAGACTTTCTGTAGTTGAAAGTCAATAGTTACTTGTAGCAGGAAGAAGTGAGTTAGTTGAAATACTTATAGAAATATTTGCTATATTTCTAACACAGAATAATGCCAAAAATATGTAAGATGCTGATTATAGCCTATAATATAAATAAAGTGGAGTTGAGTTCCTGTTTCTGACTCTATTTTACTCTGTAGGAATGATGACCCCACCCACTTTATGCTCAGTTTTTTATATATTAAGAAAGAGAGAAAAACAAACAACCACATCAAAAAGTGGGCAAAGGATATGAACAGACATTTCTCAAAAGAAGACATTCAGACAGCCAACAGACACATGAAAAAATGCTCATCATCACTGGCCATCAGAGAAATGCAAATCAAAACCACAATGAGATACCATCTCACACCAGTTAGAATGGCGATCATTAAAAAGTCAGGAAACAACAGGTGCTGGAGAGGATGTGGAGAAATAGGAACACTTTTACACTGTTGGTGGGCTTGTAAACTAGTTCAACCATTATGGAAAACAGTATGGCGATTCCTCAAGGATCTAGAACTAGATGTACCATATGACCCAGCCATCCCATTACTGGGTATATACCCAAAGGATTATAAATTACGCTGCTATAAAGACACATGCACACGTATGTTTATTGCGGCACTATTCACAATAGCAAAGACTTGGAATCAACCCAAATGTCCATCAGTGACAGACTGGATTAAGAAAATGTGGCACATATACACCATGGAATACTATGCAGCCATAAAAAAGGATGAGTTTGTGTCCTTTGTAGGGACATGGATGCAGCTGGAAACCATCATTCTTAGCAAACCATCACAAGAACAGAAAACCAAACACTGCATGTTCTCACTCATAGGTGGGAACTGAACAATGAGATCACTTGGACTCGGGAAGGGGGACATCACACACCGGGGCCTATCATGGGGAGGGGGGACGGGGGAGGGATTGCATTGGGAGTTATACCTGATGTAAATGACGAGTTGATGGGTGCTGACAAGTTGATGGGTGCAGCACAGCAACATGGCACAAGTATACATATGTAACAAACCTGCACGTTGTGCACATGTACCCTAGAACTTAAAGTATAATAATAATAATAAATAAATTTAAAAAAAAAGAAAGAAAGAGAAAGGCAGATGCTGATATCTGGGCCTGGTGGGCTGTGGTGTTCTTCTCTTGAATACTGAATTTAACCCACAATCAACATTACACAAGGACCCTAAGTGATCATAATGGGCTAGACAAATATGAGACTACTACATATGCACACCCGAACTCAGCCAAAGACATAAACATTTTGCAGACCAGAAAATTAACAGATATTTTCTATCTGCATATATTATACTTTAAGTTCTGGGATACATGTGGAGAACGTGCAGGTTTGTTACATAGGTATACACGTGCCATGGTGGTTTGCTGCACCTATCAAACCATCATCTACATTAGGTATTTCTCTTAATGCTATCCCTCTCCTAGCCCTCCACCCACTGACAGGCCCTGGTGTGTGATGTTCGCCTCCCTGTGTCCATGTGTTTTCATTGTTCAACTCCCACTTATGAGTGAGAACATGCAGTGTTTGGTTTTCTGTTCCTGTATTAGTTTGCTGAGAATGATGGTTTCTAGCTTCACCCTTGTCCCTGGATGAAAGTTCACGTCCTTCATGAAAAGACATGATGAACTCATCCTTTTTTATGGCTGCATTAGTATTCCTTGGTATATATGTACCACATTTTCTTTATCCACTTTTTCTGATCACCAATCACAGCTTTAACATCACTTCATTCTTCTTGATTGATGGTTAAGAATTTCTAAAATACCCAATCAGAGAATTTGAGTAAGATACCCAAACCAGAGAACTCTTGGTTTCTGACAACATCCAATCCAGAGCAAAATCCTGCTTTTGTGAACTCTTCCCCAAAACACCTACCACAAGTTCAAATCATATAAGTTATGGCAGACACATTCCTACTGAGATTCCCCACACTTCCCTCATTGCGGTGGGTCAGGAAACAGACATTTGTCCAATGACAGATCTGATCCAGGTGGTTTTTGACTGAAGGTCTTTAATAATATTAATAGCTTAAAGACTATCAAGTGTGCTAAAATGTAAATGTTTTTGAATGAATATTTTCCCCAAAGATAGCCTCTGGAGAGCAGCAAAAATTTGAGCTAGAGAAAAACTGAAGCTTCAAGTGTATACATAATTGTGGGTTTTTTGATCAGTCAATATTACCATTATATGGTACATTTTTATAGACTACTTTTGAAAGACTACACTGTCAACATGATATAGCCTATAAGTTGAAGTTCTAAGCATTCTTTCTGTGGATTGGTAGACTTTCTGTTAAGTGATTTGCCATAAATTCAAACGTATCAATCCGAAGGACTAATAAACCACCACTGAAAGACTTGCTGAAAACAATATATTCAAGATTCAAAATTTGTTTGTCCAAAACACCTGCTTCTGACCTCCCACAAGATAAGCTATTTAGACACTGTTGAAATTTTTATAATATTATACTTTGGATGAATACAGGCTTAATGATTCATCTGTTATTCTTCCAATTTGAATAGTTGACAAATTATACTTTTATTATTTCTATCTGGTCAATAGTATGATTTCCTGACATCATCTTTCTGTGTATGCAATGCACTCTAGAGGTACTTAAGCTTTTTTTTGTTAATCATAAGTTATTCATTAGATAACCTCACAGGGAATAAAATAATGTTTGGGTTAAAATTGCAAAACAGAGTTAATCCTGTATGTCTAATATGATGTTTTATTGTATTTCCAATATAGATTATTAGGAAATATTAAACTATAGAACAGTTTTTTTGTTAAACACTTTTGTCAATGTTATTTTCTTATTCCATGTTAAAAGTTTACCTTTATTGGGAAGAATGTTAATAATAAAATAGAAAATGTTATTTTACCCTTTACAACACAGTGGTATATAGCGTTTGCATATATGCCTACCAGACTTCAAAATGTGAAATGGAAATGAAAACATTCTAGAGGAGTTTTCTAGAATGGGGGAAGAAAGTCTAGCTTCCACATTTGTGGAATGGCTTAAAATATTTGTGATTTTACGATGGAAAGATTGAGTATAGAGGAAGGTTAGACATAACTTACTTGGCAAAACTTAGGGCTTTGGAAATTGGTAGTTCCCCTAAAACCTGACAAAAGAATATTGGAATTTAGAAATAGTTATGGTACTTCAAAGAGTATAAAGGAAGCATTGATGCATAATATTTGTGCTTCATCTTTGAAGCTTTGGTGACGATGATGATGAGTGGAACATTAAAGGTGTAGAATATAGTAAATGATCTTTGGAAATCTAATATCTAGTTATGGAGATTATGCTGAAACATAATCATGTAATTAGGTAGAGATATATATGTAAATGAATAGGTATTTGATGGAAAGGGAAATAGGTGGTTAGGAAGAGAGGAATAAGGGTAGGCTAGAATAGTCAGGAAAAATATCATGACTGGGGTTGGGCATTGCCTGAGCCTTAAAGAACAGACAGGATTGTAAGAGATGAAGAAAACATGAAGGTCGTTTAGGCTGTATGGTCATCAATATATGCTGCTCCTCATCATCAAAGTTAATAAACATATTAGCATACATTTTCTCCAGGATATTTCACTAAGCACTGTTGGGATGAAGTAAGCGCCTATCCATGAGGCATTTACAGATTCACTGGATGCTTGTTGAATTTACTTAACAGACCTTTCTAAAGGCCTTCTAGTCATAGAAAGCATGCAGAGTTATACAGTCAAAAATTGGTCAGCATGACTATCCAGCAGCAGAATTCTCGGTCCAAAGACAAATAAATCTTATGTGGTGTATTCTTTTATTCTTAAATTTTAATATATTTATGTAAAAAAAGAATGTGATTTCAAATAACCCTCTGAGTCCTACTTTTCTCATATGTGAAATAAAGGTGTTAAAGAACTGGATCTTTGAAGGCCTATGTAGACTTGTAATTGCATAGTTCTTTGTCCTGAGTTTATCAGCATACAACATATAACTGAAAGATTTACCTAATATATCTTAGTCTTAGTGGTGTAGAGTATATGAAAATAGAGTGTTGTTCATATAAATTGTTGCATGCTATTTTAGCCTTGTTTACAGCTTAAAAAGTAGTTTGAATTGACCATTGGAATAGACCATTTGGAGCTCCTGCTGGATCAACCAGCACCAAGTTGTGCCCACTATTCAGAATTTTGAAAAAACAAAGTATCACTCTATTATCGCATTTTTAAAAATCTACATAATTCTTATGTTGCTCTTTTCTTCAGTCTTTCCATTTTTCTGTCTTCTTTCAAATCTGCCTAGGTATTAATATAAAGAGAAGAAAGCTTCAAATATGGATCTCATCACACTAGACAACTATGGAATTGCATTAACTGAAGTATGCTTAGGAAAAATGCTCTAATTAATTTTATGTGGTAGGATATGTTGGGGAATGTCAGACCAGTGTTAGCTCACTCACTGTAGACACAATCCGGTGGACACCTTGACTCCTCCATCCCCCAATCTGCCAGCCCTCCACATTCATTGTCTTGGGGATGGAATCACACATCAGAAACACTGAGAGAGAAGATGCAACTCTTGTCTTTTGAGTTGCACAAGCCAAGACCGCAGCATAGATGAGTTCGTGAAGAAGATATGATGACCCACGCAAAGCTGCCCTCCACTTCGCCACTGAGATAAAAGTAAGAATTCTCCTGATGGAAGAGAAGTGATGAGTGCATAAATGATGATATCTAAAAAGAGTGTGAGCCACCCTTTCTTCCCCCCAGTCAATCCCAGGAGGTGGATTATCCACAGAGTTCCTCAGTAGGCTTATTCATAGGATACCAAATGGGAACTGGGTTTTTTCTCTGAGGTGGGGCCAGGGAAGTCAGTAAGACCGCAGAGACAGATGGGCCTAAGGCAGACTCATTGCCTCCCCTGATCCCATCACTTTGTGAGACGAAGTAAACTGATCTCCATGTACCCAAGGGCATGCAATAGTTGGGAATAAACATTAACCTGTTTGGAGCAAGAGCTTTAACAAGAAGAAAGAGGAAATTCAAAGGAATGCTAAGGGGGACTGATGGCACTAAGGACCAGATGCCTTCTCACGGAGGTCCTCCAAGTCCTCCCCATTGTCAGGCCAGTAAATATGCTCTCTGGAACTTAGACAAAACCCTGAATTGATGAAGTTTCTGTCATCTGGGAAATAGGTTCTTGAAAAATAAATTTAGATATTCAGTAATCCCTATAACAGCAAAAATGAAGACAGCGCTCACCGTGTCCCAAACACCACCCTAAGCACTTTATGTGTAGTGACTAATGAAAGTCTCACACAGCCATATGAGAGAGTTATTGTTATTATTATCTCTGTTTTATTGATGATTGAACTGAGGCCCAGAGAGGTCTTGCCCAGTGTTTCACAGCTCAGAAGTTACAAAGCCAGGATTCAAATCTAGGTAGTCTGTAACGGACTATACGAGACCACTTCTCAAAGAGGTTTAAAATAATAAAACAACACTTCTGGCACAACTGAATCTGTGGCCCATGTTTTACATACCTCATGCATATTTTGAAGGAATTTTGTGCAAAGCCATCTTTGACATTCGTTTCTGTTTGGACTCTGGGCAGGTGTGAGGATGCTGCTTATTATGTAATACAGAGTGCTTTCTGGAAGACCATGGAAATTATTTCTCTCTATTCTTAGTACTGGAAATATTTGGGCTTCTCTTGAGCAACTACTTTATTTGTATTTTGTAGAAAAAGCAACTATTTCATCTCATTTCTCTGTTTTCATTGGCTGGTGTGTAGCTTAGAGACAAACGTCAAGCTAGCTATTGCCAAGTCACTAGAAATTCATGGCCTGTGTTGTGTGTGTTCACCGTACTGCTCTATCCCAACTTTCCTTTTGCTTTGCTTCTTACCTATTTTAATTTACTTTATCTGTCAGTAATGTACATATCTTAGTGAAACACCTTAAATCCTTTCTGAGAAAGGCAGGTTGTAAATACATGCAAATATTATTTTTCTTTGCTTCCAAACTACATCACTCTTAGATCTCTCTTGGTCAGCAGAAGGACCCTAGCGATTACTTTATAGCAGTAATGTCATTCCTTCATTGGCACATTTTATCCATAGAGGACAGAGAGGATAAGCTGTGAAGGACACAGTGTGCTTCCTATTCCCTCCTCTCTATTCTTAAGCTGAAGGTGCTGTGGTGAAAAGAAATGTTGGCACATAGGGAAGAATGGCGTAGTGGCTAAGTATATGGGTTCTGAGGTCAGAACTGGCTCATATCCCAGTTCTGCAGCCCGCCTCCATGTGACCTTGAGCAAGTTACTTATCTGTGCCTCAGTTCCCTCATCTATAACGTAGAGCTGAAACAGTTACCCCCATTCATGTAGTTATTATGAATATTAAATAAATTAATGTTAGTAAAACATCTATTGTTTTTCAATAGTTGCTCAGTAAAATGGCCCGTAAGTGGCGGCAGGAGAGCTAGAGAATTAGAAAAAGTCTTTTAAACTGTAGTAAAACAAATAAAATATTCTTGATATAACTCATGAAGAGCCCAACCAAAAGTAGGGTATTTTTTAAAGGTACAGATTGTTTTTGCTATATTTAATATGTATCATATTGTTTTATTCTTCCCAAGGCTAAAGCATACATTTAAAATTTTTTTTACATATTCTTTTAAGCATTAGAATTATAAGGAAAGAAGGGATCTATGTTCATGAGCACCGGCCACACTAGTAATCCCACTCAAACTGTGTTGAAAGAGCATCAGAGAAAAAAAGACAACTGTATTCGCCTGGGAAAAACTAATGTAAGAAATATTTTCTTTCAAGAATTTTTTCTCATGCAATAAGAAATTCTCATAAAATGTTTGTTAAGATTTTAATTCCAGTCTTAGAAATATGTGAATCTATAAATATATTTGAGAGCACCAGATTAATTCAATACATCTTTCAATAAATTATTGAACTGATAAAAGATATGATATGTGATGAATACTCCTGCCCTAAAGGTGGCTAAAAGCTGGTAAGGATAGACATATAACTGAATATTGCATGCCAAAATATGCAAATACATGTGCATATGAATGTGTGCACACACACAGCTGCAGTAATGTGAAAACAGTGGCAACATAGAGATTTTCATGGAGGAACAACTCATACCATTAGTGGGAATAAAAAAGGAAAAAGAAGAACAAATGGAGAGAAAACAGAAGAGGAGATGGGGGTGGAGGAAGGGAGAGAGAAAGAGGAGGGGAAAAGAGGGAGAACACACAACATGGGAATAAAAGAGGAGGAACACACAACATCATAATAAAAATGACTTTCAATATAGTTCATGAAAGATGAGAAGGCATTTGCAGTTGTTAGCATGTGGGGTGGGAGGATTCCGGGTTAGAGAATGGAGTCTGTAAGAGAATAGAAGCCTTCTGGGGGGTGATGGGCATGGCACAGCATGGCAGTCAAAAATGCAGTGAGCTCTGACTACATGCGGGCAGTAGAAAACCACTGAGAAGTTCTCGGCATTGGGACAAACATAATGGGATATACCTTTTAGAAAGGCAGCATGGGAGAATATGCCTTGAAAGGAAGTGAGGATGGAGGAAGAACCGTTGCTGTGGTCCTGGCTTCTGCCAGATGATTCTCCTGTTTTATTTCTTTAGCTCAGGGAAGATAACAGCTTCCTGCTGTTGCTAATATCCAGGTTGCGTTGCTATCCTCTTCCAACCTGTGTGCCCAGTTCCCTGAAATAAATTCACTGTAGTTAAGAACTCACAACTGTTTCTGTTTGGAGGTTAGACCTTCACTGATACACTGTAGCAACAGTCCAGAGAAGAGGTGTTGAAGGCCCTATGAAAAGGAGAGAACCTGCTCATACAGAGGAGAGAGCTAATTTAGAAAACAAAACCACAGAATTTGACGGTGTGTGTGTGTGTGTGTGTGTGTGTGTGTGTGTGTGTGTGTGTGTTTAGGCATGAGGGAGAGATGAATAGATACTCTGACCTTCTGGATGGCCCACTTAACAGACTGATGTGATTTAAAGAAATAAGCAATAAGGGAAGAGCAAAGGATTGTAGAAGGCCTAAGGCTACCACAGGACACTCAGACATGTCTAGTAAACAGATGGATGTTGGAATCTATAACGTCCATAATTGAAATCTATTCGCATATAGTAGGAGTTTAACGGTATTTAAGATCTTGGAAGATCACTAGAAAAAGGATATATAATGAAAAGGGACCAATGACACAACTTCATGGAAGCACTGATATAAAGGGTTAAATGGACAAAGAGGAAAATCAGAGGGAGAAATAGTGTCAGAAAACCCAAGACTTTTAATAAAGATGAATAGTCAAAAAATGCTGGAATGGGTTCATTCTCTATGCCTACTCCAATGTCATTGACCAATTAAGGGTAGATCCAAAGTTGCTTTTTCTCTTCAAAATAACATTCTGCTACATTGCTGTTCTCATATTACAATGAAGGGATTGGGAACCAGAGAGAGAGAATCAGTTTTGTAATTTTACCCAGCTGGTATATGGGGAAACTAGAATTTCAACCCAGTTCTGACTAATTTCTAAAGTCTATGGTGCTTTGTAAATGGATATCAATGCCAGGCTAACAAATGTCTATGTATTTATATAGTAAATATAATACACATGAGAAAGCTTGAGGTAAGGTAAGACCTGATCATAGCTATGTCTAATAATAATCTAAAAGCAGCATGTAGTGAGGATTTGAAAAGATGGATACAGGAAAAAGGAAGGGCAGTTATTAGACCTCTAGATAAGAAGAAATGAGAGCCTGCTTTAGGGTGTAGATTTGTCAGATTTAGGAAAAATAACAGTAAAACTCAAAATACCCATTTAAATATGAATTTCTGATTTTTTGGTGTAAGTACGTCCCTTGTAATATCTGGTATTTCTGTATGTTAAAATCATGCTATTTATTTTAAATTTGTATTTAAGTAGTCTCCCATATTTCATCTGGTAGCCTAAAATACTGTAATGTAATTCTGACACTAACAACCTATAGTTTGTGTAAACTCCATAGGTTGAGGCAAAGATCCCAGTAAGATTGTTCTTGTCAGATACCAATCTCAAACTCAGAGGTTCCCAGGCCAACTGCACTTCTGACTAACAGTCTACAAATTTGGTGTGTCCTATGACTCCCTTGGGTTGATATGATAATTCAGTAGAATAATTCACATAACTCAGGAAAAGGGTATACTTATGACAGTACTTTTATTATAAACAATAAAAAAGCAGAACTAGCTAAATGAAGACATACATAGGGCAAGGTCTAGAAGGGTTTCAAAGTAGAGCTTTCATGTATTCTCACAAACTCAGAATGCATCATTCTGGATGTGCTCACTAACCAGGAAGCTCACCCAAGACTCACTGTACAGTAGCCTTGTTGGTGTTTCTTTACATAGGCATGATTGATTGACTCGTTGCCAACATGATTGAACTTGATCTCCACTCCCCCATTTCCTCCTCTACAGTGAGGGGCCCACTTTGAAAGACAGAGACATTCCTATCACTTGAGAAATTCCAAAGGCTTTGGATTCCTGTCCAGGACAAAGACCAGACAAATACTTTATTATTCAACACAACCTTAATGTACTCATAGTAATGAAAATGGAGAGACAGATGAGGAAGAAATTATACCAGGGAGGAGTCTAAATTGTTGGTAGTGTTAACATTCTAGCTTAAATTGATTAGATTTAAATTGATCCTAGATTGGAAATATGTAAGAAGCTGCACACTGAGATGAAAAAGAGAATATACATAATGAGCTAATTTTAGATTCCTGGAGTTGAAGATATTGATGAAACACTTAATGTGAATGCAGGGTGAAGGTATAAAAATGCATATCTGGGTTTAGAAGAATCTTCAGAATTGTATACTGCGAGTCAAGACTCCATAGCATAAATGTGATTGCTGTGGCTCTAAAATGTGCAGGCATGCCTCATTTTATTGTGCCTCACTTTATTGTGCTTTGCAGATACTGCATTTTATACAAATTGAAGTTTTGTGGAGCTCTGCAACAAAAGCCAATCTTTCAGTATGGTACCATTTTTCCACCAGTGTGTGCTCACTTCATGTCCCTGTGGAAATTCTCAGAATATATTGTACTTTCCCCAGAACTTAAATTATAGTAAATAAATAAATAGTGCACATACCTTAATTTAAAAATAGTTTAACTTAAAATGCTAATGATCATCTGAGACTTCAGCAAGTCATGAATTAATGTTGATGGCTGCTGAGTGATCAGGGTGTTGGTTGCTGAATGTGGAGGTGCCTGTGGTAATTTTTAAAAATAAGACAACAATGAATTTTGTCACATTGATTAAATCTTCCTGTCATGAAAGATTTCTCTGTAGCATGCAGTGCTGTTTGATAGTATTTTATCTACTGTAGAACTTTCATAATTAGAGTCAGTGCTCACACACCCAACTTATGCTTTATCAATAATGACTTTAAATATTCTAAATCCTTTGTCATTTCAACAGTTCACAACATGTGTACCAGAAGTAGATTCTATCTCTAGCAACTACTTTTTTGTGGTCACCTATAAGAAACAAATTCTCATGTGTTGAAGTTTGTACTGAGATTGCAGCAATTCAGTCACATCTTCAGGATCTACTTTTAATTCTAGTTGTCTTGCTATTTCCAACCCATCTGTAGTTACTTTCTCAGCTAAAGTCTTGAACTCCTCCAAGTCATCCTTAAGAGTTGGAATCAACTTCCTCCAAACTCCTGTTAATGTTAATATTTTGACTTCCTCCCATGAATCTTGAATTCTTAATGGTATCTAGAAAGGTGAATCCTTTACAAAAGCTTTTCAAATTACTTTGCTCAGGTCCATCACAGGCATCACTGTCTATGGCAGCTATAGCTGTATAAAATGTGTTCCTTAATAAGACTTGAAAGTTAAACTTTACAGAATGGATTTTTGTTAGCAGGCGTGGAAACAATGTAGGTTTCCTTGTACATCTTCATCAGAGCTTTTGGGTGATCAGGTGCACTGTCAATAAGCAGTAATATTTTGAAAGGATTTTTTTATTTTTTTTCTGAGCAGTAGGTCTCAACAGAGGGCTTGAAATATCATAATCTGGCTTTAAAGTTAACCCAGTCTTTATTCTTCAGAGTTTACCTTTTCTTTCACACAGAAAGGTTAACAAAATGGAATTAAAGTCAGTGCTTTATCTATTCATTTAAAAGTTGTTCTTTAATTGCAAAATGCCTTACAACTAGTAATAATAAATTAATCTAAGTAATTATAGTTTTCAAATGGCTGAATGGGAAATACTTGCAGTGTATCTACATAATCTCATGAAGACCATTCATTGATAAAGCCACATTGTAGCACATATACTTGTAAAATGTCACGTTCCTTTGTCTAGTCACCAACTACAATATGATAAAATTTAACAAATTTGCCAAGTGTCCACTATGTACCAAAACACTTTTCTGAGTATTGTGGGCTGTACAAAAATAACTAACATATAATTTGATGGAGAGAAGAATACTTAAAAAACATCAACATTTATGTTTTGGTCATTATGATTTTGGTCGAAACTACTTTACTATAATGTCACTAGTAGCATTAAATACTGCATAATTAATAATCCAAATTAAACAGAGTATCAGTAGAGATGTCTTTGAAACATGCAAACAAGCAAATTGCTTTACCTCTTTGAACTTCATTTCTTAATCTATAAGTGAGAGATTGGACTAAATGTTATCTTTTTGCTTTTTCAGTTCTTTTCATGCTTATAGTGTCAGATAATAGGTTTTATTACTTAAA